AATAAATTTAAAAAAAAAAAAAAAAATTCTTAAAAAAAAAAAAAAAAAAGGAAGCTAAGGCCCAGGGGTGGAAAAGACTTCATGCTCTGACTCCTGGCAGTCTACAGGTGAGATAAAGCCCAGGAATCCTGCTACCCAGGCCCTGAGTCCTGGGGTTAACAGAGACTCATATTCGTTCTTGCTTATCAGGGTGGGCCGGGGCGTTCATAGCTGAGGCTCTGCGCATGTTCAGTTCACAGTGGATGATGATCTCACCAGCTTCGGTCAATTGCCATGGCAACGCCAACCTTCACAGTCCTAGTAAATCTGCTTAGAAGAAGCTTCAAAGGATGGGGTATGGTTTTTCAGGTTGTAGCCCTCATGGGGCTCCTCGCTGAGAGGCAAGAGGAGCTGGGAGCCAGTCTGCTCTCCTCTCATCAGGCCCAGAGACCCTTGGGGCTCCTTGCCTGGAGTTTTACTTATTTACACCAGGTACCCAAAGGGCTGGGGGCAGCCCTGCTTGCAGGATAGCTGAGTGATCCCGGCTATCGCTGGGCACCTGGCCGAGATTCAGTAGGTCTGGGGTGGGGCCCAAGTCTGCATTTCTAGCCGGCCCCCAACTGAGACCTGGTGCAGCTGGTACAGGGCCACGCCTTGAGTAGCCGAGGCTAGACAACAGGCTCTGCAGTGAAGATCCCAGCTAGTGCTCTATGGTACTGGGAAAGAATGTTTTTTTTTTTTGGAGAGATTTTTACTATAGGGCATGTGCTCTCACCAGAGAGACACAGAAAGAGGAAATCACCCCCGGGGGGATGGCCACACCGCAATCTCTTCTCCTCCAGTCTCCTCTAGGGATCTTGGGTACGCATGTACATGCACCTGGCGTGAGTTTTGAGCCACTGGGTCTGAACTTGAACTGTGGTTGCCTATGTGGGAATCCAGTGACTCCTGTTATGTTATCTGCTGGGGCCCTGGGCAAGAAATTTAACCTCTCTGAGCTTTGACTTCCTCATCTGTAGAATAGGGGTGATAAAAGCCCCTTCTACTAAGGGCATTGTGAAAATTAAAGAATGCCCTGGGATGGCCTCTGGCGCAAAGTGAGCCCTCAGTCAAGATGGCCTGCATCCCCGAGCACTCCCGGCAGTGGAAACCACCACCCTCTGGGCACGCTATGATTATTCTTCCTTATTTTGAACTGCGGTCTCTTCCCCTGAGTTTTCTCCACTGATCCTGGTTCTGCCCTCTGAGGTCTCACAGTTTCATCTGCCTCACTCCCTCCCTCCCTCAGCACCCCCAGCAAGGTTACTCTCTTCATTTTGCCCCCTGGCTCAGGACCCTCTGCAGAGAACCTCACTGGGGGGGCCGCTCTGGTTTCTCTCTTTCCCCGGTGTGCTCTGGCTCCTAGGCCTTAGCGACCTCCCAACTCCCAGCAGAGCCCCATCCCATCTCTCAGGATTTATAAACCTCCCTCTTGCCGGGTTTGGCCCAAGCCACGGTTCTCACTCACAAAGCTTTCTCTTCTTTGCTCCAGCAAACCTTGGCAGAGAACCTGCCTCCTGGCAGTGCTGCTGTCCCCTTCCCCAGGTGGCCTTTGGGCTTAGTTGGTGTCACTTTGCAGATTCTGAGCACCGAGTGCTAGTGTGCCATCACGCTGCCCTACCTCTTAGAGGCCCCTGCTTTCTACTTCCCATCATGCCTCATACCCTGTGCTGCATGCAGGGGGTTCCAGGAATGTGACCATCTGGGGTGCGCCGGGCCTCACTCACCTGAGCAGACGAGGGCAAGAGCGCGGCTGCCTTCCTGTGGCTGGATCTTCTGGAAGCACTGCCCCAGGGAGGTACAGCTTGCATTCTGGACCCTCCACAGGATCGGCAAGGGCCTGGGCTCCTGGGGATCTCCTGGGCCTTGTGTCCCGACTGCCTCGGCCTCTGGCAGATGCTCCAAGAAGGAGCCACACTGGACGGCTGCACAGATGAGGTTCTCTAGGCTGTGGTCCCCATTCTTGGTGTCATCGCTGATGGTACCACCCAGGCCGCCGCTGTAGAACTCCACCACGCCGGCACACTGCAGGTGCCCAGGCCCAGCCACCAGCTGCACCCTGGGAGGAGCTGGGAGAGGAGAGACCAGAGAGGAGCCAGGCCTGAGCTCTGATGTCATCTGGCAAGCACACAGGTGAACGCCGACTACTGGCGGTTGGCCTTGGGCAGTGTGAGGCCCCTAATATTGCCTAGGACACGTTTATACTGAACATTGCCAAGGTGAGCTGAGATTCAAATATAGCCAAGCATCCTGAGCTTGTATTTGCTGAATCTGACCCCCCAGCCCCCGGGGTCAGAATCCTCTTACCTGTGGGCTCTGGAGTGGTCGTGGGTGGGGGACTCGTGGGTGGAGGTGTTGTCGTTGGGGGCTCTGCAAGGAGACACTGGTGAGGGAGGGGTGAGTGACTCTGGGAGGGAGGAAGGAGAGGGGAGGAGGGAAGAATGGAGGTGGAGGGAGGGCTGGGGATAGCCAGCGTGCTGAGAAAAACCCAAAGCTTGTCACCCAAGTCCCGCTTGCCAGAGTAAACCCGCTTGACCCACATGTTGTCTGTAAGACTCTTGCAGGTGGGCAGTTCCACCTCACTTTACGGATGGGGGAATGGAGGCTCAGAGCGGACACCGAAGTTAGCTACTGGCAGAACCAGGTCCTCAACCATTTCCGTTCTACCAGAGAGGTACCAGCACCCACTCAGTGCTCCCCCACCAGCCCCCCCACCAGTGTTGTAGTTGAGGTAAGGTAGTTATAAAGTGGGGACCCCCTTCCTCTTCCACTGGCCTGCTCTGGGCATGGACCACAGACCCTGGGAAGCCTCCTGGGGCTGCCATCCAAACCAGTGTGCCCACGTGGGCGACTGCTTACTCACCCAAGCAGATCAGGCTCAGAGGGTGGCAGTTCATCCTGCTATAGCTGCAATTGGAGAAGGACCCCACATGTCCAGAGCAGATGATCTGTTTCCGGGGTTTGTTGAAGGAAGAGATGGGGGCGAGGAGCAGAGCCTCCCCACAGAGCAGCTGGTGGCAGACCTTGGAGGGCAGGCTGGCGTCTCTCCAGACAGCCGGGCTCTGGCCCCAGCTCTGGCTGCATACCGTACTCCACAAGTCCTTGTAGTAGACCTCCAGCTGGCCCTGGCATCGCGAATTGGAGTTGGTGAGCCTCCCCTGGAAACCTGGGGGTCAAAGAGACGTGGGGGGTGCTCAGGCTGGGAAGGACCATCCACTGGGGCTCCTCACTGCCTCCTCCCTCCCTGTGCCCTGTGCCCAGCCAGGCTGCCTCCTTCCCCACTGGCTGCCTGCCTTGCTTCTTATTTGGCTCTTCCGGGGCACTGAAGGAACTTTCCGGAAACTCAGGTTAGGGTGTTCTTGACCCAGGCAGTCCCGAAGGTGGGCCTCCAGATCTCAGAGCCAGAGGGGATCTTGGAGCAGTGGGCCAGGTATTCTCAGGGCTCTCTGTCCAGAATTGCTCTAGTCCTGGGACTTTGGGCCCTATAGGTTTGAGGTAGGATATGATATGTGTACGTGTGTTTTAATTTTATTTATTTAAATTCATGATAGAGTGTGAAAGAGAGAGAAAGAAGCACCGTCCACAGGGCCATTATGTCACAATCCCCTTCCTGCAGTCCTCCAGCGCACCAGGGTCCTGGGCTTGTGTGTGGACCTGGTGCATTTCAGGCTGACAGAGCCAGGGACTCAAACTGTGATTGGCATGTGTCTTTCACAATCCAGTACACCACCAGCTGCACCACACAAGCTAGGCCTCTCCTTTTTTCACTTTTAAAGTCAATTTTATTGAAGTACCATTTACATCCAGTGACATACACTCATTGAAAGGGTACTGTGTAATGGAATTTGACAAACGTATACATGCATGTAACATAATCTAGATATGAAACATTTCTATTGCCAGAAGGTAGTTCCCTTACGCCCCTGTACAGTGAATTTCCCAGCCTCAGGCAACCACTGGTCTGCTTTCTGTCACTAGAGATTAGTTTCGCCTTCTCCAATGTTACATAAACAGAATCACGTGTGTGTGTGTGTGTGTGTGTGTGTGTGTGTGTGTGTGTGTGTGTGTGTGTGTGTGTGTGTGTGTGTGTGTGTGTGTGTGTGTGTGTGTGTGTGTGTGTGTGTGTGTGTGTGTGTGTGTGTGTGTGTGTGTGTGTGTGTGTGTGTGTGTGTGTGTGTGTGTGTGTTTGGGGGAGTTGCCGTCTTTCTCTCAGCACGTATTCGAGATGTATTTGTGTTGTTGCGTATATCAGTGGTTCATTCCGTTCTTTTGCTGAATAGCGTTTCGTGGTATGTTATGCCACCGTTGGTTTTCTCGTTCAGTCTTCGGGTAGTTTCTGGGTTCTGGCTCCTGTGGATATAGCTACTATGGACATTCGTGCACAGGTCTTTGTGTGAACACACGTCTCCTTTTCTCTGGGTAGATACTAGGAGTGGAGTTGCTGGGTTATGGTAGATATGTGGCCTGTATGATTTTACAAAGCTTCCGGGGGGGGTGAATGTGCATGTGTGTTTGCATAAAGAGCTTCTGGAAGGATATGCAGTAGACATGGTCACTACCTGGGGTGGTGAGGTGGGGTGACACTGGACAGATGTGGCACAGAGATGGAAGTGAGACTCTGGACATGGATCCTGAACTTCAGCTGTGAAATATTGCCTTCAGAGACTTCCAATGAAGATTTTATGGTGAGACTTCTTCCTCGCTTATTTCTAGGTCAGAATATTCCTCTATCCCCACTGATTCTAATGCACAAAGAGTGAGAATGGAATGCAAGAGAGATTGTAGATCACCTCCTCCAGCACGCCTCCGAACACTCAGATTGAACTTGAAGAATTAGAAGAAATGCACCATCTATCAGAGATGACTAGAAATCACTGCAGGGTCACAAGAAATATAGAAAAACAAGAAAATACCTCTCCTCCAAGGAAAAATAATAACTCCTCTTTGTCCTCAGACGGTATGATGAAATTCATGGAAATGTCAGATAAGGAATTTAGAATTTTCATGGTGACAAAGCTCACAGAGATTAAAGAGAAGAGAGACAATGAACTGCCAAAGAGGCAGGGGAAAGGAGCTGACGAGCTCAGGAGGTGAGGAAATTCTTGTAAGATCTAAAACAGGAAATTGACACCGTAAAGAAGAATCAAATGGACCTGTTAGACATGAAGACTATAATACAGGAAGTCCAAACCTCCCTTGAAAGTATTAAAAGCAGACTAGATCATACTGAAAATCAAATCTCAGATGTAGAAGATAGAATTGCTGGCTTAGAAAAATCCACCACGAAGACTGAGAAAACTGCCCCCCAAAATATGAGAATACTATACGAGAAATACTAAGTACCATCAAACATCCAAACATCCGGATAATTGGTATTCCAGAAGGGGAAGAGACCCATAAAGGCATTGACAATCTGTTCCATGAAACCCTGGAAGAAAACTTTCCGAACCTAGAGAGAAACGTCTGGTGACCTACAAAGGGTATCCCATCAGGCTGACAGCACTTCTTTCATCTGAAACAATGCGAGTGAGGAAAGAATGGGAAAATATATTCAAAGTGTTAAGGGAAAAGCAATTGCAACCAAGAATACTATACTCAGTATGATTATCCTTCATGGGGAGAAAAGACAAGAATGTTCTCAGATAAACAAAACCTGAGGGACCAGTAGGTGGTGTGGTGGATAAAGGTGCTGGATTCCCACATGGTCAACCACGGTTCAAATCCTGGACCTGGCGGCTTGCTCTCTCACTTTCCCTCTCTCTCTCTCTCTCTGTCTCTATCTGATCAAATTGAAAAAAAAAAAGTAATAAATAAAGTTATCTAAAAAAAAAAAAAAAAAACCTGAAAGAATTTACAACACCAGACCAGATCTCTAAGAAGTTCTTCAGGGAGTTCTATACCAGGAAAATTAAATACAGTCACACAGAAATAAGAGTTCAAGAATGAAGAAAATGGCCGATTTAATCATGGGGACCAGTCTGGAGTTGAATATTATATCCCAAAATTTAAATGGGATAATTGAACCACAATAGAAGATAGATTAAGTAGATAAGACTGAACTGGTGAAATAGAGTTTTATGACTTTTGAGTAAAACATTGCTGATTTTCTTCTAGTCTTTGTTTTCCGGTTTTAATAAAGGATTTTTGTCTTGTCTTGAGCTGCCGATAAGTTCATGTACCTATTATGTGAACAGAATCCCAACCTGTTTCCTGGCTTTCAATTTTAAGCATATTTCCTTAGCATTTCTTTGATTTATTAAAGCTAAATCTGCTTTCCTTGAAATTAAAAAATATAGTAAAAAATACATAATAAATGACTATAATAAACTATATAGCATCAGCTAGGTGCTACCTTGTAGTATATTCATTCTACTCAGAGTTTCATGCCTAAAGCCAGACATGTATTCACAGATATGTACATGTCAGCAGAGCTTACTATTGAAAGCAGTTAGATTATTTAAGAAATTTAGAAATGGAAAATTATTGATGATAACATGTATGATTAAGCTACTATGCAGCATATTCTGGATGGGAAGTCACATTTTGTATGCTGTGGCAATGCTTAGGGAATGAATGGAAATTAATGAATTAAAAACAAAATATTAAAATAAATACATAAATTAAAAAAAAAGAAGTGAGACTCTGTACTATAGATCTTTTATATTTTTAAGGGCTGACGCCATTGTCATATGGCTGCTCACGGTCTGAATCTCAACCCTGATAGCTTGAAAGACACACCAGGAGAATGGATTGTGGCATGACGACACGCCATTAGGGGGTGCTTTCTCCCTCTCTGTGTTTCTCTGTTACTCTGATAGTACACATACGCCTTCTGGGAATTAAAAAAATAATAAAAATAAAATGTGTAAAATGTGATCTTTTTTTTTTTAAAGTCTTCCCCCCCCCCCAAATTGGGCGCTCGGGTACTGATCAGAGAGACATAGATAGTGAGAAGGAAAGTGAGAAATTACCTCCCAGGGGGGATGACCATGCCGCAATTCCTTCTCCACTCTCCTCCCGGGATCTTAGGCATGCATGTACACATGCCTACCATAATTTTCAAGCCACTGGGCCCAGGACTCGAACCACAGTCAGTCATGTGGGAGTCCAGCTACACCATCTGCTGGCCCCCAAATTGGATATTTTTATATTAAAAAATTTTTAAGCCAGATGAATGTATTTTTATTCAATATATTTTTTTAAAATGTGAAAGGCATTTCTGAGTCCATCTAAAGTGGAGGATTCCTGTTTGGGGGGGTCTGCTGTTTTCACCTCACAGATGAGGAGACTCTGGTGCTAGGCACAGGGCTGGGGCTTGCCAAGGTCCGTGGGCTAGAGGTGAAGTGAGCTGGCCTCAACACCTAACGCTGGAGGGATGCCTTGCAGGCTTCAGCCCGGCAAGCTGACTCATCAAGACCTCACCAGGGAAGAGCTTTTCTCTCCATGTCACGGGGGAGGAAATTGGGGCTCACAGAGGTCATGCAGCTTGCTTGAACTCAGGGCTAGGATGTCAGTGCAGGATCTAGGCCCAGGCCGAGGACTTACCAAGGCCTTGTGGGCCCCTCTGACTGCATGGTGACTTAATGGACTCATTTTCCCAGAATACATTCCATGTGATGTCCTAGCCCATACGGTAAAGACACATCTGTGGTGAAATGAGTGTGGGAGCTGCCGAGTTCAAACTAGCTTGGCGTGTTTCTTTCCTGCAGGACTTCTCAGAGCATTTCCTAGGCAGGTGCACACTGTCAGCCCCCATGGGAGATGTGATGTTGCCCACCCCTTGTCAGACATGTTCCACGGAACCCTGTATGGGAACCATGGCCTCTAGGATTCAAGTTCAACCTTCACGCAGGACATTCAGCACCCTTTGCAATCTGACACAGCATCAGCTGCAGATGCCTTTGACCGTGGAGCATCTGGCAGGACTGGGTAGGAAACAGGCCTTTGCAAGGTGCATTAATGGGCTACTGTGTTTTCTATGTGCAGTGAGCGGGTCATAATCATTATTATCAGGAGAACTAGCATTTATGTGGTGCTGTATGGCCCGTCAAGGATGTTCACCTGCAACTGGGCATCTTTTTAAACTTTTTAAAAAGAATTATTTAATTGATTTTATTATTATTATTATTATTTTAATTCACCAGAAAGAGACAGAGAGAGAGGGAAAGTGAGAAAGCAAGCTGCCAGGTCCAGGACTCAAGCCGCAGTTGGACATGTGGGAGTGTCCAGCATCTTAACCACCACGCCACCTGCTGGCCCCTCATATGAGCATCTTAATTGTGCACGTGTCTGTCCCTGTGTGTTTGTGTGTATGGTGGAGTTCACTCTCTCTGTGGAGGGTGGGGTTCCGTCTGGCAGGGGCAATGGCTTCTTAAACGTCAGGTCCCCCATAACCTGATGGAACCACAGCCCAGCTCTCCCCTGCCCCAGGCCTCCCTCCCTGTGACTTCCTTACCTGGCTCATCCCAGCTGGACCATCCGAGGCAGGCAGTGACTGCAGAAAGAAGAGAGGAGGGTCAGGAAGTGAAATTCCCTGCTCCTCTCCCCAGCTCACACGCACCCCCTGCTTGAACCACGGCCCTTCCTGCCTCCCCATTCTCCACCATCATGAGGTAAAGGGGCAGGGAGTTTCATGATCCCTAGCAATTGTGAAATCAATGGAGTGGGCTGCAACCATTGGTTTAAAAATAAATAAAACAAAAACCTATGGTGAAATTGATTTTTCTTCAGTGCACAATTCTGCATGTTAGCACAAATAGGTGTGTGGCCCCCATCACCAGTTTTATTACCCCTCCCCTCCATTGCCCTCAGACGATCCCTTTATAGTAAAGAAACCATCAGTTTTTTAAATAATAGAATAAAGTTAGACTACCCCAGCTGTTGTGAGGTCCGGGTCACTTTTTTTTTAAGAGAGATTTTTTGCTCTAGGGCACATGTGCTTGCCAGAGAGAGAGACAGAGACAGAAAGTGAGAAATAACCCCCCAGGAAGGGTGGCCATGCTGCAATCCCTTCTCCTCCATTCTCCTCTTGGGATCTTGGATCTTGCATGCACATGCGCCCAGCATAAGTTTTAAGTCAGAGTCTGGAACTCAAACCCTGGTTGACTATGTGGGAGTTCAGTGACGTAATTATTATGCCATCTGGTGGTCCCGATAGGGTTCACTTTTTGTATATTGGGGATTGCAGTGTAAAAACGTGCTGTGTGTGGCTTTCAAAGAGTTTCTTTTTTCTTTCTTTTTCTTTTTTTGAGAGGTTTTTGCTATAGGGCGCGTGCACTCGCCAGAAAGACAGAGAGAGACACAGAGACAGAAAGTGAGGAATCATCCCCCCAGGGGGGATGGCCACGCCACAATCCCTTCTTCATTCTTCTCTTGGGACCTTGGGCACACACGCACACACATCCGGCGTGAGTTAGGCCACCTTGTCCGGGACTCGAACCACTTTCGACTACATGGGAGTTCAGTGACGTAGCCATTAAGTCAACTACTGGTCCCCATTCAAATAATTTCAACTCCAACGTTTTAGAGAACCAAATAATGAGCCAGAAAGGGAAACTAAGACAGGTTTGCTACTTCTAGGATTCCCAAGGCAGGATAAGAACAATGGCAATTCAACAGCTCCGTTTCCAGAGGTAGACCAAAGCTCAAAGAGACAGAGGGACTAGCCCAAGGCAGTACCAGCAGGGAGACAAGACCACGGCCCCACTGGCTGCGGTCTGCAGGGGATTGCCCTTCCCCATGTGCTCCGCCTCTTCCCAGCCCTGCCTAACCCGGGAGTAGGGGCAGAGAAGCCTGTCCCACGTGGGGCTCTCTGCAGAGCAGCAGCCGGCCAGCGAGCCTGTGTCTGGGGCGATTTCATCTGGGTGGAGACAGGGTCAGGTAGGAAGCTTGTGGACCTAGGAGCCCACCCTGCGCGTTTGCCACTGCCCAGCACCTCAGTTTCAGAGCAGGGACTCTGATTTCCATCTCTCTGTCTCTTGGACTTCTTTCTGCGTTGGCAGCTGGGGACAACACTGGGCCAGGAAGCCTGCTTTAATATAGTCAACGGCTGTGTTTAAATTGCTTGTGTGAAATTGTCACTGGGTGTTAAAAACGGGGGTGTTTTAAAGAACCTATGATTGCCTGAGTATTCTCATGGTGATAGGATTTTAAGGAGAGGTGCCCCACCAGCTTGTCCTCTCCTTAACTGAGACTTCTTGTGTTGAAGTCATCGTGGCCCTGGGAGAAGGTTCCCTAATCTCGCGAGATCCCGTCACAGAGGACCTGGAAGCTGTGGGCCTGAGAAGAGAGAGGTCCTTCTCATGGATAGGAAGAATGGGGCTGGAAGCAGTGGCCAGAGCTCTGGCCCAGGTAGAAAGGGATCATCCAGCTGTCAATCATCTGGCCTAGTGTAGCAGGCCGGCAGTCTCAGGAGGACATGGTGGAGAGAGGAAGCAGGAGGGCTTTTGCCCTGCCCTTACTTCTCACCCTGACCTCTCAGTCCAACCTCTCACTCCCACCTCCCTCTGGAACCGTCACTGTATTGGGAGCAGGGCAGTCCATCTTTACAGAGTCATTCCTTTGGCTGAACCACGAGGCAGCTTGAAGTGGCGCTGGTGGGGAGAGGGGACCCAGAGATCTGACCTTCGTCCTGCATGATGCAGGTTGAGTTTTGGTAAACTGAAAACTTTCAGCTCTGCCGTGTCCTGACTGTGGGACCTGGGGGCAAGTCTCTCAGTCCCTCTGAACTTCAGTTTCCTCATCTATAGCTGGGGGATGAAAATGGGTCCAGCTTTCTAGCTGGTTGTGATCCCTACCTCACAACACATGGTGTAGGATGTGAGGATGAGCTGAAATCATTTGTGCAAAGTACCTAGCCCAGGGACTCCCTGGCCTGTGTGCAGTGCTCAGAGCTCATGTGCCTGGCCTGTGGAGTGGCCTGGGCCTGGGCCTGGGCGGATGTGGCCGGGAGGGAGGACACCCTGTCCAGGAAGCACAGAGAGTCAGACCACAGGCTTATCACTGCCCTTTCCCACTTGGAAACTTGAGAATCCCAAAGTCATCAGAGTCATCATTCATTATTAATGCAGCAGCTAATTGGCTAGCACCTCTGCAGAGCACTCAGCGGGATCCTTGCAGGTATCGTCAGTCGTTCCACAGCCCCACTATGTGAGTCAAGTGTGCGCACGATCAGGAGAGGCCAAGTGCCCAACGGCTAGCAAGTGGTGGGACCTGGATTCCAGCCCCAAGTCTGTCTCTAAAGGCCATGCCCTCCGCTCTCAGCCACCAGCTGTCCCTCCTAGATGCTGAGTTTGGAGACACAGAGATGAACACGACCTTGACCCTGACCCTGTACTTGATCAGCCAGACCCTGACGCCTCTGGGTGCAGGGACTGGGCCTGACACCACTTTCGACAAGTCAATTGACAGCATCAATTGACAGCATCACCTCCCTCGGAGGGCCTGCCTGGTCCTCAGAGGAACAGGGTGTCTTTGCTTCTCCTCCGTCACCATCACCATTGTCAGCACCATTGCCACCGTCTACACTGGTCAAGTTGTCACTCTTTCAGACCTCTTATTTATTTATTTATTTATTTATTTATTTATTTATTTATTTAGGAGAGGTTTTTGCTACAGGGCGCATGCGCTCGCCAGAAAGACAGAGAGAGAGACAGAGAGATAGAAAGCGAGAAATCACCCTCCAGGGGGATGGCCACGCTGCAATCCCTTCTCTTCCATTCTGCTCTCTCGGGATCTTGGGCACGCACACACACGCACCCAGCGTGAGTCTAAGCCACCGGGTCCGGGACTTGAACTGCAGTCGTCTACATGGGGGTTCAGCGACATAGCCATTATGCTAACTGCTGGTCCCCAGACCTTTTTTCTTTAATTTTAATTTTTTTTTTTTAGGGATTTTGTTATAGGGCACGTATTAATAGGCCTGAGAGACAGAGAGACAGAAAGCAAAAAATCCTCCCCACCCCAGGGGCTGATGGCCATGCTGCAAGCCCTTCTCCTCCATCCTTCTCTCTGGACTTTGGGCATGCACACACTTGTGCCTGGCATGAATTTCAAGCCCCTGGGTTGGGGACTTAAACCACAGTCGGCCACATGGGAGTCTAGTGCCTTACCCACTATGCCACCTGATAGTGGCATTCCAGATCTTTTTATTTTATTTATTATTTTTAGAGAGATTTTTGCTATAGTGTGCATGTGCCCACCAGAGAGAGACAGAGACAGAAATAGAAAAATCTCTCTCTGGGAGTTTGGCCACACTGCAATCCCCTTCTCCCCTATTCTTCTGTTGGGATTTTTTTAGGCGTGCACACACATGCGCCTAGTGTGAGTTATAAGCCACTGGCTCAGGACTTGAACTGTGGTTGACTATGTGAGTCCAGCGATGTAACATTACACCATCTGCGGGTACCTCCAGGGCTTTTTGTACATTAACTCGCAATCCTGACCACCATGCTATGAAGTAGGCACTATTATTTTGGTCTCAGTTTTATAGATGAGGGTGCTGAGAGAAGCTAAATAACTTGCTCAGACAGCTGGTGAGTGCTGGGTGTTTTTCTTTCTTTCTTTTTCATTTCTTTCTATTTTTAAAATTATTTTATTATTTCTATTTTTTTAAAATTTTTCATAGAGTGCGTACACTTGCCAGAGAGAAAAAGAGAGAAAGTGAGAAAGTATTTTCCAGGAGGGATGGCCACTCCACAATCCCTTATCATTCATTCTCCTTGGGATTTTGAACACACGCACACATGCACCCAGCTTATTTTTCGAGTAGCCAGGTCCAGGACTAGAACCGCATAGTCAGTCATGTGGGATCTGGCTGCCTTAACCACCATGCCACTGGCCTGGGACTTTTCTTTAGCCTGCTGGATGAAATGGCTTCCTGTACCCTTGGAGAGAAGCCTGTGATGGCCTGCCCTGTGTTTGGCCAATTCTTGCAACATTCCTAGTGTGCCATCGCGGTCAAAAGGAACGCACTTGTGATTCTGCTCAGTCGGTAAATCAGGCGGTGGGAAGACTTAGCCGTGAACTCGCCAGCCCGCTCTGTGTCTTCATCTGTGAAGTGGGGAAGGTAGACTTCACAATCTCTGCCTTCTTCTTGCTCCGACCTCTGTGAGCTGCAACCTCTAGTTCCCGCTGTATCTCTGTGGCTGGCAGAGAGAGGGCTGCGGTGGACGGTGAGAGCTTGGCTGACCTGGAGACCCCCTGGGTGTTTATTGCTTCTGCTTGTCCAGGGACACGATCAGGTTTTGATCATCCACGAGCTATTTACATTCTTTTTTCTGCTTCTCACAGGGGTCAGGCAACGTGCTCCTTCTCAACCCTACAGAGGGCTCAGGTTCCCTCTGACCCCTCTAGGCTACAAGTTACTTCTCTTCTGTCCTTTCTGGAACCCCTGCAGCCTGAGACCTGGGGCTTTGCTGCTACCAGATCTCAAACCTGAGATCTTCTAGGCCATGAGGGATAAGACACATGGGTGCACTATGCCCTTTCCTTATC